TGAGTAGCGAGTGATTTTTTAAATAATAAATCAACGTTTTGGTTTCGACAGATCCATCCTCAAGTCAGTGATTGGAACAGTTCAGTCGCTGAGTTGAAGAAAGATTTTTTGTTATCTGATTATGATGATGAAATATGGAATCAAATTAAAGCGAGAAGACAGGGTAGAAATGGACCAGTTGTCATTTTAATTGCCTGTATGGAAACCTTATTCAGTCGACCCAGTCGTGGTGCAGCAGAGCCAACAAAAATAAAATATATCAAGTTAGGACTCCAAGCAGAGTATAGGAAGCGACTCGCCTCAAGTGACATTGATAGTGTTGAAACTTTCAGTAGTTTGTGTAAGAAATTAGAGGAGGCTGATATACTAAGCTTGGCATCAAGCTCTCAAAATTTTGGGACTGCTCAATGCTTGATAGACCCCGACTTGACTCATTTATCAGACACTCAGTCTTCCTGTTCTGATAATGATAGGAATTACCATAGGAGGAATTTCCGGCTGCCTAAACAATTTGCGAAAAGCAAGAGACATTTTGAAAATACGAATACTCCCCATTTAAATAAAAGTGAACAAGTCAATGTTATGAATTTTAATTCAACCCCAGTTTTGTATTGAAGGTGCTTTTACAGCCAAACCACACTTTTAGGAATTGCAGGGCTATAGATAATACAGTAGAGAAATTTTGTTTCAAATGTGGTTGTCCTGATGTGATTCCTAAAGAATGTATAGAGTGTCATGGAAACTAAGACAGGAGGTAATGTCAACAGGCTCAATTATTCTCCTCGATTTCAGAGAGCCAAGAACAAATTTCAAAATATTTCTCATGTACATTTTTGCAACATTGATGACTGAAATGAATGGAAAATTAAAGTTTGAACTTTTTAAATTAATTCTTCTGATAATAATGTTGCTCCTGTCTTCGCACAAAAACCTGGAGATAACAGACCTTCAATTTCTTTCAAAATTTTTGATCGAACTGTTGTTTGCCTGTTGGACAGTGGTGCCGACGTTTCTGTTTGTGGTAAAAAAGCCTTAACTTCTTTGAAGAAACTCAATTTGGAATTGAACAGTGAAGAATTAGATGAGATGATTGAACTTGGAGTTGTGGAACCTCCACAAAGTCCATATAATAGTCCTGTACTTTTAGTCGAGAAATCTTCAGGTGATTATCGTTTTTGCTCCGACGGCAGAAAGTTGAATGAAATATCAAAACATGATAGTTATCCCCTTCCTCGAATTGATAGAATATTAAATCTACTTAGAGATGCAAAGTATATTTCGAGTATTGATCTTAGAAAAGCTTTCTGGCAAAGGCCACTTGATGAATCTTCAGAAGAAAAAACCCCATTTGGTGTTTCTGGGCGGGGTTCATTTCAATTTGAAGTCATGCCATTTGATCTATATAATAGTGCACAAACTCAACAAAGACTTTGTGACACTTTATTTGGTGCCAAGTTTGAGCCCAACATTTTTACATATCTTGATGATATTATCATCACTTCAAGAACTTCTTCTGAACATTTATCTCTTTTGACAAAAGTAATGAACATTCTGAAAGATGCAAATTCAACTATCAATTCTAAGAAGTGTGAATTTTTCAAGACTTCAGTTGAATACTTGGGCTATGTCATTGACAGTCGAGGTCTTAGAAGAGACCCTGATAAAGACGAAGCAATGACTAATTTTCCACGTCCAACTACTAGTACCGAGATAAAAAGTTTAATTGGGATAGTTTCGTGGTATAGAAGATTTTTTTTTTGGTACTCTGATTCATTATCACCTATATTAGGGCTTCTGAAAGGAAAAAGGATAGGGCAGCGAATTATTTGGACAGCTGTAGCTGAAGAGGCTTTTCTAAAAATCAAAAGTCCTCTAGTTTCTTTTCCAATTTTATGTTCTCCAGATTTTGACAAACAATTCATCATTTCCTGTGACGCTAGTGATTATGGTATTGGTGGAGTGTTGACTAGGGGTGTGCGATATTGAAAACTGGATATCGATATCGATGCACGCTTTGGTATGTATCGATATGTATCGATATATCGATATGTATCGATATATATCGATATAATAATAATAATAATCATTTATTATTTACCATTAACAAAAATTAAATTCCTATGTGTTCAGGTCTAAACACTAATACAATAATAATGATATGGTAAATAAATGGTGCAATGTTAGGCCAAAGGCCGATTCTTCCACACTGCCCGATAAACTAAAAGAAATAAAGTGAGATAAATAAATAAATAAGCCGCAAAGACCTCTAGAGAAATTAATAGTGATACAATATGAAATATGTCAAACAAACTACTGTTTATATCATCTTAGAAAACCAATGTGCCTGCCTTCCTATTGTGGAATACACAACAATAAGGAGAAAGAGAGAAACAAAAAAAAAAAAACAAAGAATGGAAGAAATCATAATTATCAATCATTGTTGCTCAAGTAATTGTTTTTTGAGTTTGTATTTAAAGGTATTCACCGACGATGCATGATGAGGAATATCCAAAATATGCCCATATTGAGAAATTTGATAGGAAAAAGAACGTTTGGAAATTTGCTTGTTATGGGAAGGTATTCTAATATTATTTTTTCGTCTCAAGCTCAAATTATGTATATCCGACCTAAAAGTAATTCTGTTATAAAGATATTGTGGGATTTTGGTCTTCAATAATTTATAATAGAAACAAATGGTATGTAATTTTCGTCTATTGAACATGTTTAGCCAGCCTGCAACCTTCAACTTACAAGAGATCCTTTGTCTTCTCTTTACACCATATATAAGACGAAGACATGAGTTCTGCACCTTTTGAATTCTTCGGGCATCGTGAGCATCCAAACAGGAAGAGTAGATTATATCGCAATGGTTGAAATGGGACAACACGAGAGAATCACATAGCATTTTTTTTATAGTCACGTTCAAATATTCACGATGATTGAAAATGAGTTTGAGAGAGCCGTAAGCCAGGCGCAATTTGTTAGTAATGTGATTCTTGAATCTCAAGTTCGAATCAAGCGTCGTAGATTTATTAGAATTGATCTCCAACTTATGGTCCAATGAAGCAGTAAGAAGAGCTTCCAAATCTTCGTTGACTCTGTGATTTATAAGTTGGATATCAGATGGTTCGAAAGAGTAGTATAATTGGGTATCGTCAGCGTAAAAATGGTAATTGCAATGCGATAGATATGTATGGAAATTCGATGTGTATAACGTGTACAACAAAGGTCCCAATATACTACCCTGAGGAACTCCTTGTTCAAGTTCAGCAGCATTGGAAATATTGTTATATAATTTGACTTGCTGAGTACGGTGGCTGAGGTAAGAGGCTATCAGATCCTTAGCAGTTAGACTGAAACCTACAAAATGCAATATTGCCAATAAGATTGCGTGGTTGAGCGCATCAAATGCCTTAGAAAAGTTGATGAGTATGAGTACACTGATTTTATTATTATCATAGGCATATAGGATGTCATCGATCACAGCAGTTGGTGCTGAAGCACAGCTATACCCCGCTCTGAATCCAGACTGATGTATGGGTAGAATGTTGTTCTCTGTGCAGTGAGTTCGAATTTGATGGTCTATCGACTTTTCTAAGATTTTAGACAAAGTTGGTAGAATGCTTATGCCTCGCAACTGATCAAAACCAGAAGGGGATGATACTTTAGGTAACGGTAAGACTACTGCACGTTTCCAGGATAGAGGAAAATAAGAACGAGTTATACATTCATTGATAATGTGTGTTATAAAGGTATTTATGAAGGGACAACAGAGTATGATTATTTGAATATTTAGGCCGTCTTGACCATAAGCCTTCGATCTAATATTTTTCAGAACTTCAAGGACAAAATCAGAGTCCACAGGCCGGAATACTAATTCAGAAACAACCGTGGATTTCAAATTGTCATTATAAAACTGCAATATTTCGTTAGAGGGAGGCTGATTATCATTATTGGCATTCAAGAAGAAACTATTAATTTTATTCACATCTCGAAGAGGTACTGGGAGCTCATTATCTTTTGATTTGACTACACTAAACTTTTTAAGTGCTTTCCATTCCTCTTTTGAGCTGCAATTGCGGAATTTGTACTGTGAGTAAGCTTTCTTCTCTCTTTTAATTGCTGATGATGTGTAATTTCGTAGTTCTTTATAAAAATTAAAATGAATATCAAGTTTGGTTCTTTTGTATTTTTTGAGGGCTTTATCTCTGAGCTTCTGCATCAGTTTTATAATGAGTGTAATCCAGGGTTGCCTTCTGCATTTCGAATCAATTTTTCTGATTTGTAATGGGGCATGATGGTCTACTAATTTGATAATATTATCAGTGAGAAAATTAACCTTCTCATCGATACAATCTATATTGTAAATACTGTTCCAGTTAATACTTTCAAGATCTTTTTGAAAATCAGCCAAGTCTATGCCGGCGAAATTTCTGGAGCTATATGTAACATTCGTAGAATCACTACTATTCCTAATTTCAATAATACCGTATACTAGATAATGCCTCACTACAGAAGTATCAAATACTCCTGATTCTTTCAGCTCGGAGTTTGTATATAAATGGTCAATCAATGTCATACCATGGTTTGAAATATGGGTGGGATCAGAAATTTGTTGTTGTAAGTTGAAGGTCTCGGTGATGGCCAAGAGTTGATCACAAACAGATGAACCAATTTTGAGAAAATCAATGTTGACATCGCCCCCACATAAAATTTTATCATATTTTGAATATACCTCAGACAAAGTATCTTCGAGTTTATTAAAGAACAATGTAACATCGGTATTCGGTGGCCTGTAGAAAGTGCCTAAAGCATATTTGTGATTATCAATTATAATTTCCAACCACAGATGTTCAAGATATTCAAAGTTTTCATTTAGTAGTAGTAGTAGTAGTTATATATCAATATATCGATATGTATCTATGTATATATAGTTGAGTACGTTCTACTCGACACATTAAAACTGCCGAATAGTGAAGTTAATCTCAATTGAACAACTAGAAAAACAGCGATAAGATTATGAAACTTATGTTAGTGATGTGAAATTAGTGCTCCAGAACAGTTTTAAACAAAAACGGTACAAATCCATCGAGGAATATTGAAGTAAATTGGATTTATTTTTTCCAAACGGACAATTCTAACGTGAGTACGTAGATTAAAATTCATTCGAACCACATCAACAGCTGGCCCCACCCACACATTTCGATATTAGTAAATATATGAAATCGCTAGAATAGACCGATATCAGGATCGCGATTTCACGCGGAGCAGGTGTATACCTATCGGAGATATTTTATTATCTCGACGGCTAAAACAGAATGACAGGAAAATCGAATGAGGACCTGTTTGCGATGTTAGAAAAAGTTCTTCAACAAAATGATGACATCAAGAAAGATATAAGCAAGTTAAACAATAACCTAGAGGATATACGAGAAGACATAAAAGAAATTCGCCAAGAAAATAAAACCCTGGAAGAAGAAAACAAAATTCTCAACAATAAAATAGAATCTTTAGAAAATAAACTGAAGAAATACAACATTATCATATACGGTCTGAAAGAAGAGCGGGAAGAAGTTACCCAAAGTGTGGTGGTCAAACTCTTCAGAGAAAAGCTGGAGGAACCCTTTAACGAAACTGAGATAAGAGATTGCTATAGAATTGGGAAATCGGAGGGAGAGAAACCTAGGCCAGTTCTCGTCGAGTTTGTTAGATATTTTTCGAAAAAAAACATATTAGCTAAATCTAAAACATTAAAAAAGGAGGAAGGAGTATTTATCACATTGGATTACACTGCAGCAGAATATAAACGAAGAAAATTATTACATAAGCACCTGAAATCTGCCAGAGAAACGGACCATTTAGCGTATATTAAAAATAACGTACTTTGTGTGGATGCAGAGAAATACACGTATGAAGACATCGTCAAAAACAGAATTCCAAATTTTAACAACTTAGGAGCAAGCGGAGAAACGGAGATCAAAGCCAGGAAAGGAGAGAAGAGAACCAACGAGAATTCACCAGATAGAGAAACCATTACCTCCAAACCAAAAGTTTTCATTTCACAAACTGTACGAACAACTAGGCAGTCAAGATTGAACTGAGAAATCATACTATAAAGACATTTATTCCAAGCAGTTTTTGAGCATTCACTTTTAAAAAATCTTCATTTATATTTTGAATTGTTTTAAATATACGAAAATGGATCACTTCATAAGAGACCATACACATGAATCGATTGATACACAAGAATTTTCTAATATTTCAGATCTCAATGAATATATATCTTTAAAGAAACCTGTCAAATCTCTGAATATATGTCATCAGAACATTAGGAGTATCCATAAAAATTTTGATGAATTCAAAATCACTATAAATCAGATCAGTATTGAATTCGATTGTATGATACTTACAGAAACTTTCCTTGTAACTGATGATACTTACATTCAATTAAAAGATTATGATCTGATCTATAGTGAAGGCGATATACGTTAAACAATCCTTACTTTATACATTCAAAATTATCACAATTTCATCATGTAAAGCAATTCAATTGAAAATCCAGGAAAGTAAAAATGGATATATACTCATTACTAGTATCTATAGGCCACCTTCAACCAGTGTTGAACAATTCATCAATGATCTGAGAGATTATTTGCGAATTATAAAAAATGAAAAGTCTATAGTCAATCACCTCATCATCGGAGACTTGAACATAAACATTTTCAATGATGATAATGACAACGTAAATGAGTACCTAGACAACTTTAGCGAATTTGGATATGTGTCACTGATTAACAAAACTACTCGTGAGCAGGGTGATTCGATTAGTTGTATTGATCATATCTTCATGAGGAGCAGTATAGATGAAATAGATAAAAAATGTGTCCCAATTATCCTCGATTCTGATATAACTGATCATAGAACTATCCTTGCATCAATTCCTGTATCTAAGAAACTCGAAAGCCAATCTAATAACCCACAACAAATGAAACAATTCATTAATTACGAAAAACTCAAATCTGATCTGCACGATCATGACTGGACAAATTTTTACCATTTAAGCGAACCAAATGAACTACTCAAATATCTCACAACCTTGATTACAAACCTGCAAAAAAAGAATACAAACAATCAGAAGCTTCAGAGAAATTTAAGAAAAAGGAAGGAATGGATTACAAATGGCCTAATAAATTCTATAAAAAGAAAAAATATATTATATCTTCGGCATAAAGAAGATCCGCAAAGTGTAGAAAAGAAAAATGAATACCAAAACTATAAAACTCACGTAAAACGATTGGTGAAAAAGAGAAAAGCCGATTATTATCACAATGAAATAAATAAAAATAAAGATAGCTGTAAGAATATGTGGAAATTGGTGAATGGGTTCACCTCTTCCAAAAAGAGAAAAGAAATAACAAAAATTAATTCAGTAAATAATACGCCCTTAACTAATACCCATGATATAGCGACCGAGTTCAATAACTTTTTTGCAAGTATTGGAGAATCTCTTGCCGACAAAATTAGAAAACCCTCAACCCCCAAACCTATGAGGAAGCGTTCTCCAAACTCATTTTATCTCATGCAGCTTACTGTAAATGAAACTATCACCTTGATAAAAGATTTAAAAATGAATAAAGCACCCGGTATAGATGGAATAAGAGCTGAACTATTGAAGACTATTGTAGACGATATATCTCCACCTTTAACTTTCTTGATGAATCAAATATTTGATAGTGGAATATGTCCTAACGGTTTCAAGAGGGCAGTCGTTACTCCAGTCTATAAAAAAGGAGATCCTGATAACGTAAATAATTATCGACCGATATCAATCATAACCACGTTTGCGAAAATTTTCGAGAAAGCACTGAAAAACCGACTGATGAAATATATTCAAAAATATAATATAATTTCCAAACAACAATTCGGATTCAAAGAAGGTGTATCCACGAATGACGCTATCGCTACGTTAACTAGTGAATTGTATAATCATGTAGACAAAAGTACACCAACTCTATGCGTATTCCTGGACCTCACCAAGGCTTTCGATACAGTAAATATAGCACAACTATTAGAAGCCTTGGAGGACACAGGAATACGGGGGCAATCTTTGAAATTGATGAAGAGTTACTTAGAAAATAGAGTGCAAGTGGTCAAGGTTGAAAGCAGCATCAGTTCAGAGAAAACAATTAGATACGGAGTACCGCAAGGAACAGTTCTCGGTCCACTATTATTCTCACTATATATGAATAGCTTACTCACACTACCTAGTAGTGGGAAAATTTATAGCTTCGCTGACGACACTTCTATTATCTATACAGCTCCATCGTGGACCGAACTAAAAGAAAAGGTTGAGAAAGATATATCATCACTGATGAACTGGTTCAACCATATGCAACTTACTATCAACTTTGAAAAAACGTTTTTTATGCCTTTTGCTAGTTATGCATCGTCACTACCTAGTTTCCAGACATTGTCAATCGATAATCAGGGAGTAGTGATTGCGCTAAAATTTGCAAATAGCATAAAATATTTAGGAGTAACGATTGACCCACACTTGAGATGGAAAGAACATGTAAACGAAGTCACCAAAACATTGAGACAAATGCTATTCAAATTCAAATATCTGAAGAAAATCCTAGACATTTCTCATCTAAAAACAATTTATTTTTCTCTGGTAGAGTCGCGACTTCAGTATGCGATTCTTAGTTGGGGCGGCGTATTAACTTCACACGTCAAAAAACTAGGAGTCCTCCAAAAAAAAATACTAAAAATAATATACAGAAAACAGTACACCTACCCCACTATATGTCTATTCCAAGACGCGCAGGTTCTGAATTTGAGGAAACTATATACGTACCACATCATCACCTATATGTATAAAAATAAAGATCTATTGCAGAAGACAAAACACAAGTATCATACTAGAAATCAAAGTAATGATAATGTAGTGTTAGCAAGAACACAGAAATCTACAGGTCAGAGATGTTTCACCTATTTGGCTGGGAAAATCTTTAACTTCCTACCTGAAATATATAAATCCTATATTCATATTATAAATTCTTTTCCACTTATGAAAAAGTTATTCAAAACTTTTTTATTGAATCTACCAATAATCACGGTGAATGAATTGATCGAGACATAAATAACTTTATCATACTGTCTAACATTATTATATTCATAAACCTATAGTGTACATTTATTCTCTCTATATATCCCCATTATCTTAAGTACATGTATTTTTTTTTTATATAAAATTTTTTGTTTAGTATTGTTCTCCCAAACAACCTACATTGAGGTTACATGGGATTTTTAATGTTTATCCACATCTTTGTTACATAATTAACAAGTGTATATATTTATTTCCTTTTTTGAATAAACATTATTATTATTATTATATTATTATTATTATCTATATATCGATATGTATCGATATATCGATATGTATGTAATATATCGATATGTATATGCTGGTCGATATAAATCGATATATATATCGATATAACAATATGTACCTATTTATCGATATACACAGTACACAGTGTACACGTACAGTGTACACCGTATACCTCAGGTGTACACAGTACACTACACAAGTGAACATACACTACACAGTTAAACACAATCATGAGATGATGGAAAAAACTGAACAAATACATTCATTGGAAGATTGGGAATACAATTTTTGTTTAGAATGGCTAATATTGTGTTGAATAACTTGTCTGGATCTATGGATTATTTTTCTAATTATTGCACTCCTAATAATGTGATGATTTCGTGAATGACATCGAGTTGGCCAAAGATGGTGTTATGTCATATAGAAAACGTTCGCTGATATGATTGAAAGTATCTACCGAGGTTCTTTCGTTCTCGTCGTCGGAAGGTGATGATGAAGGTATTCGAGTGGATTCTCTCACATCTTATGAAATTATTGCCAATTACGAAAATTAGACAGTTTAGTGAAAAACAAATAAAGAAACACTGAGATAGCAAGTACCTACTGCAATTATACATTGGAGAAAATAGACTTTCCATCTTCTTCAGTTTCCGATATCCCAATACACTCATCAACAATTTTGGACACTCGATATTTATCGATATATCGATATTTTTGCGCAGCCCTAGTGTTGACACAAGAAATAGTTGGTCAAGAAAAAGTTATTGATTATGCTTCGCGCACTTCAACTCGTACTGAACGAAATTAAACAGTCTCTGAGCGAGAGCTTTTGAGTTCAATATTCTTAAAAGAGAAATTCTGTCTTCATATAGAAGGAACTGAATTTAAGGTTATCACAGATCATAGTAGCCTGTTGTGGTTGAACAACTTGAAAGACCCCTGTGGTGGACTTGCTCGGTGGGCTGTCAAATTGAAACAACACAATTTTGATGATGTTTCAGTGGTGGCAGTGGATATTATCGAAATGGTAGCTGATAGAGATGACAATTGGTATAATTTACTTTGTTATAAGGTGGTCAACGATTCAAAAGCATTTCCTCAATGGAAGGTCGAGGGTTATCTTTTGTGGGAATATGTTCCATCTGAAATTCCTTTCGAAACTAATGACACTCAGTGGAAGAAAGTTGTTCCAAAGTCTCACAGATCTGAAGTAATCAGCGACAATCATGATCCACCCACTTGCTCACATTTTGGTGTTTATAAAACTCTTATACGTGTTCAACAGAATTATCATTGGCCTGAGATGTTATTTGATATTGAGAATTATGTTCGTTTCTGCAAAATATGTCAGTCACAAAAGATAGCTTATACCTCACGTATGGGCCTGATATGTCGTGAGAAACAAGTTAAATTTCCATTTCAAACTATTGCTATAGATCTAATGGGACCTTTTCCCAGGTCACCTAGGGGTTTCACCTATTTACTTGTAGTTGCTGATTGGTTCTCAAAATAGTCTTTTTCATGCCCACTCCGTGATGCAAAAGCACCTAGGATTGTGAAGTTTTTGGAAAACCAAGTATTTTCAGTGTATGGGATTCCTCAAATCATTATTACAGATAATGCTACCTATTTTGCTGGAAAGGTATTCAAAAAACTGACTGATTCCTACAAAGTAAAAATCTGGTTTACTCCACGATATGCAGCCCAGTGTAATTTTGTTGAGCGAAATGATAAGACTATTAGTCGA